AATAGTCTAGTCTGCAATCCTGCTTCCAGCTCCACTTTTGCAATACGTTTTGGTTATAGAAACAAGAGAACTAGCCCCTGCTATCTCCATGCCCACCCCAATCTTGCAACCAAACTGCCCACTCCACATGGCACTGTGCAGCGCCAAACGTCGTCACCTGGAGAAGGATTGTTACATCAGGCAAATGTGGAGGGTGGAAATGCAGCAGTGTCTCTCTCCCCTCTCACCACATCCCATATCACACCCACATAAAGTGCAAATCGTCCCACAGGCAAGTTTTGCGGTGTCAGGTACGGACTGTTGTGTTGGTGTGTGGTGTCTCCTCATGTTGCTAAGAGTCGGACTTCCCTCCCACCAGATCACCAGTGCTGCCTACCAAACACTTCCAACGATGAAGCCTTTCTTGCACACCTTGAGTTGCACAGCATTGAGTCGAGTGGATGGATCGCAGCCGCAGTTGTTTACCAGTCAGTGCCAGCGAGTGCACAATTCACAGCCATCAGTTACATCTGCAGTCGACCACGCACACAGCCACACACAGTTGCAGTCTCCCGGAGGTGGAGTGGCGGCTGCCTTGGAGGTGTGAGGTGGGGTGAATTGTGGCAGGGCAGGTCAAGGCAGGGCAACGTGGGGCAGGGTGGGACAGTGGAGTGTGAGGTAGGATGGTGAGTGGGTCGTCGGGATATAGACAGTGATGTTTGTTCGCCCAATGAAGGCTGGAGTACACAAGCCATTCCTAACCTCGAATCAGTCAGTAAATCAGCGAGCGAACAATGCGAGATGAACGGCGCGTCTTCACAACTTATGTGGCGGAGGTGAAATGCACATTGATAGTCCGCAAGGCTTGTTATTGTCTGTTAACGTATGACATGCAGGACCAGTTCACTTAGAGTTCTCCATAACTTCAGCCTCCCCGTTTGTGTAGGTGTAATCCAACAGCCGCATCACTTGCATGATGCAAGAGTCCACCTTCTCGACGCCTCAATCTCACATCACCTCAACCAACTGGAATATGTCATTCCCTGCCTTTCTGAACGTCACACATCTACTTGTGAGTGATTTGTCACTCAAATCCAATCGTCCGAGCCATTTCCAGGTGCCAATTTGTTCTACAATTGCGTTTTCTCCAAGTGCCGTCCACCAACTCTTTTGTGTAATGCTGCTTCGGCATTGAAAACGAGTTAAACTCGGTTTATGAAGCGGACAGGTTTGAATCAAATCTATCCTGTTTAAGCGATAGTTTGTGAGATGAGGGTTCCGAACGGGAGGAAAGTGGTAAGGAGCAGGATAAATTGTAGTGGGAACAAAGCAAATCTACCCCGTACATTGAAATTGAGCAGGCGTATGTGGATTGCGCATCCCTAAAATATACAAGAAGTTGCTGAATCCGGCTCTACCCAAAACCGCGCTTTTCACCTGTGCCGTATACCTCATAAGTGTGTGCCTTGGTTACAAATCGGATTTTACCCCAAACACTTAATATCTTAATATTTTATGTAGAGATAATTCCAATTTGCCATTTGAGAAGATGCAGTACGCGAAAAATCTTTTTCCAAGAATTAGTTAGCAATATCATTAATTCACTCTCTTTACTGGGCTATTAAAGCAAATTCTTTTGATTTCATTCAAATAGGGTAGAATACAATCCAGAGGATTAAACACAATATATAAAGTTAAGTATCAACGTCTAAAATTCGGTTTCAGGCTAGAGATTATGGTATCATTTTTCAGGATCATTCAGTGCCTTTTAAGTAAGTTTGGCAGATGTGATTGGTGCTTGAGTTAGTACGGCTCATGTTTTTTTCACCTTCGAGCTTCTTTAGTGATGCCTATGCCAGTCTAAAACAAGAACTTCAATTGTGTCATCGTTTTTTCTTGTCCTCTAATTCAGTACTGTTCTGCCTGCAAAATGTATTTTCTCTGGTTACCTAGGTTTCCGTACAACAATCCACCTGTGATAAGGTGTTCAGAGGCCCACATCAAATTTTTGTGCTGGCTAGGGAAATGCTCGAGTTTAACGCCGTGAGGTGATTGCGAAACCCCGTGAAGTAATGCATGTCCAGAAGGATGTGGTAGGGAGTACAAGAAATTTACAGCTCAAATAAGCGCACTGGGAGCTTTGGCTTGTCAAAGTCCCACACTTCCAATGACTGAGCGCGGAGCTTTCAACATGGCCACCCAACATCGTGAGGAATTAACCTTCCACAGTTTCAGCATGCATAATTTCAGTTAAGCTTTACTCGTTTTTTTGTAATTGACATGGATTGATTTCCAAAACACCGTAAAATTTCCCACAGAGGTCATCATAATTTTATTCTTCACGAATTGCAATGTGAATCAAGAATTATTTGTAAGCGTATAATAGTACAGAATTCATACTAAAAACGGAGCAAATTTAATGTTGCAAAAAAGCCTTCTGTGACTGGGTCTCAGCAATTACATTTAATTTTCATAATTCCAAATAGTTTGGACTCCTTTAACTTCTGCTTAAGGGCCATAATGTAATTGCCAACAGTCGTCACTACCACTACTACGTTTTTAAAAAAAATTTAAGGATGTATCTTGAAAAAAATCCTTATGTACTTTCATAATGAAGCATTGTCAGCTCACATTGTCGCACTGAATTGTGAACTTTTAAGTCGGGTGGTCCCAAATCTGGGTGATGACGTATGCTGTCTTAGCAAAACTTGAAAAACCCAGGCAAAGTGTTCTTTACCAATTATTTTTTGTACTTTTATAAATGATGGGATGTTGTGACTTTAGGTGAGGCGTGAAGAGACAAGTACAAAAGGGGAGCCGTGAGATGCATTGTCAGCAGCCCTCAGTTGGGAAAAGTAACGGAAAACTTTAAAGCCTCTACCATCATGCATTCTAAAATTTGACCATTTTTAATGACCCAATGCTTCTCAATTAGCCTAGTGGAAGTGAACTGCTGCTTAGCTAGTCATTTTGCTGATGCTGTTGTTAGTAAATCGCACTTTGTCCATTCTCATTTCTCAAATGACGGTCCACCGTGAGTTCATGCCTCAAGCATTGGTATTAGTGAGTGAATCATATTGACATTTTGCACAGGACCTTTCCAGCCCCTTTTGACCCACAAACCTCAGGCTTTCTTTTAATCACACACACACACCGAGTACGCACACAGTCATTAGCACACCATTAAAGACCGGAGCTTTTCAGTGTGGTAGTTTGGCCTGCGTTTCGCTTAACAGTTAGCGGTGACCTTTTGAGAATTTGACCCTCCGAAAGTTTTTGAAATGCGGCTCTGTCTCAACCGACTCACTGCCATCATCTACGTCCGCTATGACTCAACACCAAAGCACTTAGTGACGTCGCCAAGGTTTCATCGAAGACGCATGCGCGAGACGCACAATACTCTTGCTTAAACCTATGCAACATTAACGAGGATAATTCAAGTACTTACTTAGGGAAACTCTCAACTTTCTTTTCCAAATGTGTATTTTTTGTAAAAAGAATATCTTTGCCAGAGTTGTAATAGCACAACTCCGGGGGTCTCCTTGTATCGCCCTGGATTCCACAGCATAAATTTCGTCCGCTATGCCTCTACAAAAACCGCAACTCGGGGTTAGGCTAAACGACACCTAATTATGAGTACTTGTGCATGGAAAGAATAATATGCAAAAAGGGAACAATTGTTTTATGTAGGTAGCAAATATGGCGTCCGCTCAGCTCAAGTGGGCAGAGGTTGTGCGCATGCGGTCCTCATCATGCGAGTTCCCTGCGAGAACGAATCCAAAAGCTCCCGTTTTGGCGCCTGACCCGAACGCACCTGCTGCGTTCCACGTACACACCTTCAGCAGTATCATGCATGTCCGTTGTAAGGAAAGGATGTAAAAACACGGATGTTTATGACATATGACCGGAAAGTGCGCAGAAACGTTTTTTTTAAAAAAATGTGGTTGATTCATTCGGCTATCTCCATCAGAGGGCGTTTTTTGCCTTGGCGATGGTGTTACTGAAAATAGGATTTTATTTACTGCCATTGTTCAAAGATGGAATTTTTTGTACAATAATAAAATGTGGTAGTCAGCATAAGGAACTTGGAGATTTGCCAAATTTTGCATGAAATATGCTGAAGTAATATCCCATTTTTGGTAGCAAGATAAAGGAGAAATACTATCCACCTACCTACTGTAAAAAAATAACCGTTACCACGACATTATTGTTTTCTGTAATGGTATAAAGTACTGAAGATACATTGCACTGGACTTATCAGACCCATTTGGTACATCAAATAATGTTGTACCATTTCACCAAAAATCCTAATCATTTATGGTTGTGTGAGATAAAACTAACAATTCCTTCAATTTTTTAAATACTTCTGTTTAACTTCAGTGTAAGTTCTTCACAGGTTTCAAACGTACACGCGGGTGTGGACCATCATCGCAGTTAACCTTCGTCTCGTACAAAGAATGTACGATGCTCTTTGTTTGGCAAATTTCGCAAGCTAGTAGCGGGTTCTTGGTCTTCCACACGCTAAAAATTCACAGCAAATAAAAAAACCTCCCATAAATCACACCTCTAACCTGGCGCACAGTAACAAGCTCCACAATTGGATCAATGAAGAGGCATTTCACCTACAAAAAGTGTTGCTTTGAGTTAAAAGACCGCTGGATCTTTTTCAATCACACAAAGAATTTCTGAAATAAGCAAAACACGGCACAGCTTTGCAAGGCACTTCCGTATCCTGAACGCTTGATCTAGTAAAGGAATTCCCGGCAGGCTAGCCGTAGACTTTCCCACTTGTATTAAAAGTGCTGCGGTAGAGAGTAGACAATTTGGTACATTCAAAAAAAAACTTTTTGTTTTTTGAGCTCATTAGTTAAAATTACAAAGTAGGGTATGCGAATGCGTAAGAGTGAACTTTTCTGCACAAACATGCGACATGACTGCATCCTTTTGTTTTGGGTCACGCCCACAAAGCACTAGTTGAAATATTTCTGACACATGCGAAAGACAAAGTGCGTAAAGGTTGGCGCCTGTAAAGTCCACCTGGAACACCTTTTGCACTACTTACCTCCGCAGTCTTCCACTGTCAATGCTGCTGGGTGGGTGAAGGCTGACGACGTCATAATTTAAGAGCTAGTGTAAAACTAACTTGTGTGGCAACGGCGTTCGTTTAACCGGTTTCCTTTCGGCTTTCCGCTAGTTACAGGGAGCTCTGACCACTCCACCCACGTTTTTAGCTCCCAACCCTTCTGTGCACGCATAACAAAGCTGCCTCCAAACTTGTTTGCCTCATGAGACCTACTAGCAGCAACTCGAGCACTAGCAATGAAGTGAATGTAATTAGTACCAATAAAAAACTCTGAATGGCTTTGAAGTAACTATCGAATTAATAAGCAGTTATTAATGAGTTTTCCAAAAATACTTCCATTGCATATTTGATGCACCTCGGCGATTCGAGCGCAAAAGCATCCAAACTGATGGAATTTAAATTCAGACACAAGAACAAGGTTAGCTTGAACAATTCCGAATTGTGCAGGCTTAATTTATTACCTTTCATAATGCAATTCTACCGCTGCTAGTTCTGATGCTCACATGCCTGACATTTCACGCAATGCCATTAAGGGAGCGTGCAACGCCATTCCCCTTGACTGCTGCCAGTGACTGCACGGGTGGAAAAATACTTACGCTACCTCTTTAATTCCTAAGAGGACGATTTTTGTGGAACCAATCAGGCAAAAGGCACCTTTCTGACGCATCAAGTGCTAGCCACACGGGTAGGCACAAGTCGAAGGCTGCCTTAAACAGCTTAAATGGTTCACGGTGCTGTGCCCACTCGTAGTAACAAAAGTGTCGGTGCAGGCGGTCCGCTTTGTGCACACTCTCGTGACAGAGTATCCGAAGACTTTAAGACTTACTCTGCCCTTTTACTCCTTATTTTGGTGGAGATAGTACGCCTAAGGCTACGTTTTCGCACGGTATGCCTTAGATGAAGGCAAGAAACCTTTAACCATCATTATTAACTAGAGAATCATCCGCTGGTAAAACACTCTTGCAACATACGGGGCACCATGCTAGCAAAGAGAGAACTATAACCCTTAATAATGACCGTGCACTAGTCTGATATTCAGATGTTGGACACTAAAATTCCTCTGATAGCCCCGTAAACAGGAATTTCAACCCAGCCTTCATTATTGGTGACGCACAGGCGGCACATCAAAATGCACCATACACTTGAGGCTTGAAGGTGCCTCTAATGGTCTATCGACGATTAGTCGCTCTCATTGCACCCAGCAAATTCACTTATTTTCTGCAGGGCTTAGGTTGATTCTTTCTGAAATTCGTTTTCATAATTCATTCAATAATGCAAAGCATGGGAGAAAAGGCAGTCTCAGCGAATCGAACGGAACTGCCGCCCTTTTGTCTGCCACATTCCTCTCACAATTTGTGCAAACACAAGGGTGAGGCCACCTGCTTTTTCTGAAAGGATGTACGATGGGATGTGGGTGGCTTTCGAAGTCCTTGTATCCTATTCGAATTTTTTTCGTAGAGAACCATTAAAAGACTACCGCATTCAGGCATAGGGAGTACTTACGAAGTGTCAATTACCTGCGCTGTAAATGCAGGACTACATTTGGGAGAATCAAATTAAACCACTAACCGTCAACACACAAGTAGTGGATGCCTACCAGTCGGTGGTTCTGAACAAGCGACCAATTAGAGTGAAATCGCCTTGGGAACTCACTACCCTCTCCACTGTACGCTTCACGTTTTGAAGGTCTCCTGGTTGGAACTGCGTATAACTCGCGTTGCTAGGAGAGCAGGCAAAAGATGTTTGGTATCTTGTTGTTGAAATGGCGTTCTGAGGTATCAAGTAAGATGCAGAAATTCTCTGGATGCCATAAATGGAATAGCATAAATCTGAGTGCAATATTGATGACCAGCACAGTGTTCAACGGTGATTTAAACTTCCCCCGCCCTTTCCACCGTCTCAGGGAGACCTTTCTTAATGAATAACGGGAGATTTCATCATGGATACTGCAAATGTACTAAATGTCATTCAAAGCAACCATGACTGCTCCGCTAGGAAAAATTAAGACCTTTGAATTTCCCAAAAAAACACAACATCAAAGGCAATAAGTTTGCCTTCAGATAAGCGACGACCCAACCTCAAGTCAAAACCTTCCAAATCCTAATTTTTAATTCACAGTGGAAATCGTCAAAGTGGGCCTTCGGGTAGTCAAAAAAAAATTATGCAAACTCACTTCGAAATCAATCACTCCAATTAATCAATTTATTACAATATAATCAGTGAGAGTGAGTCTTAGCATTGGGTGCAGACATGAAATAAATCGCAGTGCTTGCAGTGGAAAAAAGAGAAAGACAGTAGAGAGTAAATTTAAAAACGGAACAGAAAATGAAAATATTTATAGATGAGGGAAAAAGTTCGACGGAGAGTGTAGCAGGTCTCTGAGATCGTCAGCATGAGAAAAACCTCAACATAAAAAAATAAAAGGCATCAACGCGTCACGCGCTCATTATGGCCACCCGTTGTCCATTCACTGTCTTTGATTTGACAACTCCGTCCTCCTCCACTGTGACCGTCTCTACACCGTCCTGAATGACACGACGTGTGGTAACGCATTTTCCATCAAGGAATTTCGTGGAGGTCGACCGAAAAGTGCCCTTGACGGGTGCAGCACTACTGCCACCACCGAAAGTCAATTTCGATCCACCCTGGTGAACGGTTGCGGTGACGTTGGGGGAAGAGGAGAAGAAAGTAAAGCTCTGAGAAAGGCCATCTTTAGGCGAGATCGTGCTCCCAGAGGTGGACATAAAGAAAACATGAGGCCCCTTCCGGTCAGGCAGATGTGTTTTCGATCGGCGCACGGGGTGGGAGTAACGCGTGGTTGAGTTTGCCCCCATACGACCCGACTCTGTCCGACGAACATTGGCCGTATTAGTGGCAAATGGCTCCATGAAGCTATTCATCATGTTAACGTGTTCAGAGAAAAATTCGCGGAATATCTCCTCGGGGTCCCGAAAAACAAAGTTAAAGAAGTCATCGCCGTCGAAGAAGGAGAAGGCAGAGCGACGCGCAGAAGAACGTGTGGCAGAGCGAGGTCTCGTTTCAGGACGAGAGGAAGTGCCACGTAGACCAGCCAGTCCATACTTGTCGTAGATACGACGCTTTTCTGCGTCGGAGAGTATCTCGTAGGCCGCGCTTATCTCTTTGAAACGCTTCTCTGCCTCTTCCTTATTCGTCTCGCAGTTTTTGTCGGGATGCCACTTGAGCGCAAGACGACGATAAGCCTTCCTGATGTCAGTCTCGCTTGCCCTACGATCTATTCCCAAAATTTCATACAGACAGGTGGTGCTGCTACCATTATTCACAGGAGGCATCTCTGCACTTGGAGAACTGAAAATTTAAGGAGCTCATAAAATAGTTTGTCGAAAATATTATAGAGAAATTCACATACCGAACGAGGGAAAATTAAGTATTGCCTATTATTTAACTGGTCACAGTATAAGCACCATGGGAAAACCACATAAGAATTGCATGGAATGAGCAAAGTCGGCTTTTTGTAATGATGCATATGATCGCTGGTCTATTTGCTCAAAACATGCGAAAAAAAATATCATGGGTTATCCAAGTCTACATTCCCAACCAGAAGTTTTTAGCTGAGCTCTCACTTAAGCCAGAGCAGAAAAGAATATACACTAACAAGGGCGATTTATAAGAGAAACAAAATTGTAACCTTATAACATTCAGGAGAACCCAGATTTCCCACGAGTCCTCTGAACATATGGTTATAAAAGAATCAAAGATAACAAGTGCAAATGTGCTACAATCCTTAAAAAGCAGGGTATGTACCAAGAGACATACGGTAAATTTCAAATGAGACAAACCGAAAATCGGGACCACTAAATAAGCGAAATTTTTGAGCTAATTGGTCCAATAGATCGTCGTCAGTGCCCTGTCTCCAAGACAAAATCACCCAATCAGAATTTCAAAGTCCTACCTTGAAAAAGACTATTGACCTTCAATTTGTAGCAAATTTAATTGCGATTTTGGTTGACTTTAGGCCAATAAAAGCAAAAATACTACCAGTTTTATCCATCAAACTTTATTGATAAGTTAATGCGGTTGATGTAACTAATTTTTTATGATTTAAGGAATTCAATATACAACTAAAATTCAACAATAATCTGCATGTTTAATAACTAACAATGAAGCATTTTCAAAACTCTATGCCTTCTATTCGAAAATAAAATGTTCTAACATTAGTAATTTATCTTAGTTTAGAGCCCAGGTAGTGGATGAAGAGATCAACCCTGTACCTAGATCATGAAACACGGCTGCTCTCTTGTCAATTTGCAGCGTAAAGCATCCATCCCACCTCCCTTAGGCCTCCGGTTTCAAAACATTCGATCAACGAGAACGGCTTACGAAGAATACAACGTAATGCTTGAATCAGCTGTTTGCCACATAAAAGTTGCGGCCACTTGACTTTAGAGCGCTCGCAGTTAGCTACTTCCAAACTGATCAAGTTACCTACTTTAACTCACTACCTGCAACTTATATTCAGACCATAATATTATGTTCTTGTCTTGAGAGTTTGAGGAAAGATCAGGACTGGATGTCCACGACAGCTCTCACGATGAGTGCTGGATGTAGCCTGCCATACCGTATCCGCGGCTCCTATCTACGTCAATTTCTTGGCATCCCATCCCACCGTCCCAATTGATCACCCCATATCATGTTTTAAGAGCTTTTGTCACGAAATCTTCTCCAGAAATGTCCTGCTCAATAAGTATTCTACACAAATCAAACATTCTTAAGATCGCTGTTGCTGGCTAAAAGTGTCAACCCCAATTTACTTTAAAATAGAGCAAACAGTGAAAGACCGTAAAGATGTTACATTTCCTACAACTTGGAAAAAGATGCTCAAAAAGCAAGCATAAGTATGTAGACTGGAATGGAAACACAGCAGTAGGCAGCCATGAAGAATAGCTTGGGAGCGAACACCGACCAAATGAATAAATGTGAATGAAAGAAGAGGCACACGACAGCAGAGACGGTGGTGGCTAAAGTTAAAAATCCCAGGGAAAAAGTGACAACACTGTTTCTCACATGCGATCTCCGCGTCTCGCTTCCCAGCACTCGCTTATTGATACCATAGTTGAGTATATATCTAAAGTAGAGGGAGAGCTGCCAAAACAGCGGCCCTGCGTATGTATAAAACAAAACCATTATTGTCGACAGGATGTGTGAATGGCCTGAGAGTCCAACGTATCCCGCTGCCATATCAACTGTGGAAAACTTGTTGGAATTACCCTAATAAAAAAGAAGAAACATGAACCACCAAGCAGCAAAAAAAAGAGGATTAATCGAAGTCAGCAGTAATGTCGCCTTCTTACTTGTTGAAAGAAAGTGGCCCATCCCTCCATCCAATAGAGCATAACGATAAAGTATATCAGTTTGGAGCGGGCTTGTGGGGAAGAGGAGCCCAGGGCGGCAAATTCGGTGTGAAAGACTCGAGCTAATAGAATCTCCTTGATCATGACGCCAGTCCAGAGGAGGACGCTGGTGGTGCGACCCAGGAGGCACGCAAGTAGAGCAAGGGTATGAACGGGACTAGGCAATTCCCATCCCTCGCACGACGTGGTGCTAAGGAGGGGCGACGATGTCCTGAGATCATTCGACCAGGCGACGAGACGGAAGGAGAACCACAGACAGACGGCCAAATCGGCAGCTAACGCTAAGAAGGCAAGGCGAGCTGGTAGCAGCAAGGAGGTCCATCTAAAGGCAAAGAACAGGCAGAAAATTTCAACGCCATAAACGAACGAATTAAGCTAACATATCAACGCAGATTAGAAGTCAACCTTTTTAACACGATTGGCGAAATTTGCTTCAAGCGTACCTTTGCACTCCAATATGATCACAAATGAGCGGAAAGGTTTCGAGTATTTCATCCCCTCGTTGAAAGTGGTTTCTGTGAAACTTTTCCTCGATACCTCAAAAATGCTTTGATATCGGTTAAATGAAGCGGAATCGGTATTAATATCATATAAAAGTAGTCTGCATGTCCCATTCTGTACCGCCATCCGGCCCACCATCATCTCATGAACGGAGTTTTGCCCATATAATTTTGATAACGTTATACTGCTATCAAAGAAGCAATTTTTACAAACTTATTACGTCCAACCAACTGAACCGCCAGCAAAGTTTTACTTATACCGTTCATAGCATACATTTTGGGGTCTACATGGGTCCTGCGAGATACTCAGAGAAAACTGTTACGAGCACGATATTTGTCTACAGTCACATCATACAACTTTTATTTTGTAAAGCTTACACCACTTTCAGTCACTGCAGGTCACAAGGTAATATCATAAAAACATCCAAAAGGCATGACTCTATGATATGCGAAGACTGGAGAGAAAGGTCAAGGTGATAAGAAAGTGATGGGGCGTATAGCATGAACTTTAGGGGGGATGAGATCAGACAATGCCTTTCATTAAGCTGTTCGATGTGCATTTTGACCATATCACGCCTTATACATAGTACTTTATGGTCTACGTCTAGTGGATGGACTTTTAGATCAATAGTGTAATAAAACTAAACATGTAGCTATACGCAGTCTGTTGACTTGATAATAACAATAGGCAGCCTTGATCACATGGTGTCTTTTGGCATTACTGTGAAATATAAGTTGACTTACAAAAGCGTCTCCAAGACGTGTTTCCGAGGGTTTGAAAAATGTCAACTGGAGTACTTTAGTGGAAAAAGAGGTTAAAAGTGAGCAAAGCGAAGATTTTGACGATAAATATTAAGTAGCGCGTTTTAACTTTCCTATGTGCATTTCGACTGTAGTGTGCTTCGATATAGGCCTCCTAAATCGTAACATGAGTAAATAGGGGCAAGTCCAAACTTACGAGGAAGAGGAAAGGTGCATTCGGTTCGGTTCTGCAGCGTGGACTGCAATGCGATAGACCAGCTGGGTAAGAGCGACCACAATGAGACTCAGCATGGTGCGCAAATGAAGCCTGGAGAATCGCCCCGTGAACAAAGCAAGGAGTCCACGTGTGAGCAGGATCCCAGTCCAGGCCAACGACTGCGCCATCCATAGGAACAACGAGTGCTCCTCTCTGCAACGACAAGAGCAAAAGCCACACACACACACATCATTTTCAGCTAAAACTATGCGGCATTTAAATTAAGCTGCACACTACTACGCGTCCTTAAGTCATTTCAAAGAGATACTTTAAAAAGACTGCATACTTTCCAAAAAAAGGAGCAAGTGCTTACAACCAGTCGGTAAGATCCGGCAAGTGAAGCCACTTATCTCCAGTCTGATTGAGCAATTTCAATAGAAAACGGTCGAGGCAGAGAACAAATGTGACGCAGATGATACTGCTGCAACTGCTGCCACCATCACGGACCGAGAGAGCCAACACGAGGAGGAGGGCGAAGCAGTTGGTGGTGGCAAGAAAGTACCAGGTCTGGTGCTCCTCTTCTATCAAACTGCTCGCCGTAAGGGAGAACAAGTGGAGCAGGAGAGCAAGGAGGGAATTGACCGCCAATAAGGTGTATGCCAGAGCTCGCTGTCGGTGGCTCGGCTTATTTAAAATGCATCAGATAAAACACAAATGAAATTCGCAACTTGTGATGCAAAGAACTTTGTCTAAGAGTTAAGTACCTTTAGAGAAGAGTGTTCCTCCCAATTCAAAATATCTCGGATGCCGGGTACCAAAAAAGATAAGGAGATCTAATGGGAAGAAGTACAAAGATAAAAAGCAGTTGTGGATGTGAAGATAGGGGTTAGGTATTCTAGCTTACGGCTGCCATCACAAGGCAGATGAAGCCCACCAAACCACCGGCGATCTTGTTGTTTGTGTGGAGAAGGGTCCTTCGTTGGAAAGCAGTGAGTAAGTTAACGACTTGTGCTGTTACCTTTTCCATTTCGGTAGCCATCCGATCGCATGCTGGATGTGGTGGCACCGTAGCTGAGCACAATCGCACCAAGGACGAGATTTCCGAATGCAACTGATCCAGCTTCACGACTAAAGGGAACAAATTCCACCAATGAATGTGGTACGTTCACTACTAAATAATTGTTTAGCGATTATTTATTAGAACATCGACTTAACTCCTTAAACTGACGCATATCCTGCACGAGATAAATTAGTAAAATAAGTGATAAAATAATGAAATAATCATCACTCTCCTTACGGCATTTTAGTGCCACAATAATATGAACCGTCAGAACATATTATATGAGCAAATTTATTCAGTTAGAAAACCAAGGAGGCCACTCTAAAGATGGCCCAATCAAAGACAAGAGAAAAAGCAAGGAGTGACACACCATCACTGCTCGTCAAAAATTCGTGGTCGCAGGCGGCGTCAGTGCATTTGGTGAGCTTGCGTAGATGTTCAAGCAATTCGAGAAGGATGGCATAGCGATGGAAGGGTTGCGGCCAAAATGTCTGCAGGACCCGAAGAGGTGGCACTCCTATGCTGCCAGCCGGAATACCCACGCCGGTCAACAGCCCCATCATCGTAGCCAGGTCCGTCTGGTCGGACTTGGCCTCGAAGACTTCCCCATCAATCGTGCACATCTGCGGAAAAGATGAACCAACTCTCTGGACTTAGCTGCCTTACCAGTGGTGCTTATCATCAAGATATCTCCCCCTTATCAACAACACATGTTAGATGGAGTCTAGAGCCACAGCGTTCACTTTTTTTTATAATTGTAGAAAGCGAATAACAATGACTTAATTATAGAGTTGAGCTCATAAATACCTATGAAAGTGGTCACGACTGTCTAATATGTGGTTTAAGAATAAAAGTGGATCTGCGAAAAGAATTGTTTGCATTATTCTCTAACATTCAAATTGCTGATTCAACAACTACATTTGTAATTCGTGACCTGCTGGAAGACCGAGCAACCGAAAAAAAAATTAGTTAAGAATGAAGAAATGTCAGAGGGGTTAATATCTTCTTCGAAATATGAAAATTCAATAGGTCGGAAGAATAAATCCTTAGAAAGTGCAGCTTACCGAAGTCTTTTGATTCTTAAATTTGGGGCTGATGAGGATCATGCTGGTAGTCAGTTCTGGGAAGGAGCTACCTCCGTGACTACCCTGGTCGCTCATTCCATGATCACCGGTTAGAACAAGCAGCCAGTCGTTCGTGCTTGAATTCTAGGTCCAAATTACAAACTATGCTCACATAACCATATCAGTAGAATGAAGTCGTCTTGAGAGGAAATTCTACATAACAATCATGACCACTATAGTGCTGCCGATTAATTAACTAGCTTTGTACAACTCTTAGAGACCCTAATTTGTTTGAGAACTGTTTTGAATAAATAACATGAAAATCACTTTGCAGTACCAAAACAGATACGATTTTTCCAAGAACTATATCCATTTCTCGTATTTTCGTTGGCATAGCGTCACCGTGTGGGCCTTGGACATGACCAATGTGATCAAGTCCGAGATAGTGCAAAATCAGTAGATCCCAATCATGGAGAGCTGCTAAACGGCCATCGAGGTGTCGTGTGACATTATCGTCCACCTAAAATTGCGATGAATGGAAAGTGATTAAGTTACGATGAACACCAAGACCTAAATACCTCAAAGAAGTCTGTGACGTAGAAGGAGGTAGTTCCATCCGAACGCTTAAATGCGCCAGGAAAAAGCCTCAGCCATGTATCATCACCATACAGTTCCAGGCGTCGATTATTTGCTGCCATGAGTTGAACCCATGAGGGCTGCTCTACACTAGAGTCTTCCAAATTGTACAGAATATCGATAAATCCAGGGATGTTCCCAGTTGCCATGGCCTGTATCGAGAAATCAGTTAGGGAAATGAAAAGCGTCAAACCTTAATTCGTGGGCTTGTAACACTAGGGGAGGTCAAATATGCGGTGAAACACTGGCCCGCACCTTCTTCAATGATGGCGTATAAGTTCGGCCAATTTTTGGAATAATTTTTGGAGGAGATCATATTTGACCGCAACGCATCTACCACCATGAGGATGATGTTCGAAACTCTCGAAACTTTTGGAACAACTACAGCTAACGAGGAATTTGCCGACTGAAAATTGCATCTTACGGTCAATTTCACGAACAAGACCAGTTGGGTGAGAAAAAAGGCCCATCAGACAAAAATACAGAGCAACGGCAAAAACTCCAGAGCGCAAGAGGGCAAGCAATGGGAAGTTTGCCATTTCAGCGTTCTAGATAAATGCAGCAAAGATATTCTAGTTAGGGGAAAAAGCAGAAAGCTAGACAAAATCCACATTACCAAAATGCAAATAAAAACAGTTCTAGGTCAAAATCTGAGACTAACTCATGCCCTGTGATGCTAAAATTATAAAATATGCACAAAACCATCGGCAATCTCAGCACCTGACAAACTTTTACAGCAAAACACACGAAAGTGAAAGTAAACCATAAGTAAAAGTCCCGTTATTTACAATCAAATCGAAAAGTATCATCACAAGACTTATGAAAAGCTGAAAAATGCCCTAGGTCCCACATTAACCCCCCCCCCTTTTAGGTGACAAGACCAGCCATTTACGAAAGACGCGCCGCCGCCGAACAGCTGAACAGCTTCATTAGAATTTTAACCCCTTCAGAGTCGCGTTAACAAAGAGGGCTTCTTGTGCATTTGTTTCACTCTCTGCGCAAAAATGGTGGCACAACAAATTTCGACGTCCTAACGCAAAATTAAATCCTGAAATAATGCCTTATTGTGGTCAGCTTGATACAAGGAAACATGGCATGTTACAGACTATTCACGAATATTTCATAAGCAGTATAATGATGGCATGTTTACAATCACTTGCATTACCTCTGAATAGGCATTTTATTTTTTATCCTAGGGCAGTTGTTTTAACTGCTGCTTTTAATAACTAACACCACTTAAGCGAATTCTGCTTTTTTCATTTGTCCTATTATTTTATGGTATTAATTTTAAAATATTTGCTAAGAAAAAATTTAATGGTTGAGTTATCTTTATACCAACATACATTGAATTGCTACTGTCTCATTCCTACGTAGAGCTGCATTGGGTGGTCTGCGTAGTTAAAGTTGCGTCGTTGTGGTATAGGTTTCATCATATGCACTTTAATAACTGATTGTGGTTTTAACACTTGCGAATAAGTTTCCTTAGTGTAAACGTATTTATTTACCAGTAGAAATACCACTGGCAAATAGGTTGTGGAGCTGTAAATTTATCATTCCTTTGACTCAAAAGAGTCCTCAAATAAGAGGAGAAAAAGATCGTGTAGAACCAAGAAAAGTGGCCTTGTGACCAGCGGCTAGTGCAGCACTTGCAGGTCGTCCCGCATACCTGCAGAAGAGGGAAAAAGAGGAATAAAGTCAAAAGAAGAGATGAAAGTGGCTGTGAGACCGTGCAAAATGCACACATAAGGGAGAATCAAACAATATTAAAAACCACCATTGACCTCCTAAGGTTGGCAGCAGCTCATGGTTAATGCTAAGGTCACTTTATACCGAGCCGACTAGGTTACTACGTGATAGAATGAGGAACTTCAAATACAATCTACTGCTTAAGGCAACGTCCTCTTGACCACCCAACCACGCAGGCTGTCACACAGTTCATGTCCCACCGTGTGCTCTCGCGCTCTGTACATACTTCGCACGAGACATCGGTTCTATGCTTTTCACCGCTCTGATGTCCCGTGCAGAAGGTAAAGCATGACGTTTTACGTAACGAGTGATGTGGTCGACAACGTATTTCGCTTCTCCTTGGCTTAGTTGGGAGCAAGTCCAATTCCAACAGGACAATGCTGACGTCGAAATCAGCATCGCTATATATCTCATACAATTTACAAGAAACTAGTTCAGTTTAAGCTGTAAATCTGTCTGTAGAAAGCCAACTGGAGGAATGCATCATTCAAATCAAATCGAGGTGACCGTAGTGGCGTTCTCTCTACATCCGCCCTCAACCTCACCATCAACGGTCTAAACGAAAGATGACACTTGCTCCAAATGAATGCGCAATAGTTGCCGAATTATTTGAGGAAGAAGGGACTTCAGCGACGCCACCTCATGCTCAAACTTCGCCTCTAGAATTGGAATCCAATATACCCTTAGTAATTGTACACAGTATTACCGTGAGTCTCATGGGTGCATTTATGCCTAACTGACGTCGTTTTCCAGCATCCAATAAGCTAAGCCTTTCAAGGGCATTCGAAGTAACTAATTACTAGACATTATTCTGATTCGTCGCTTGTTTGTTTAACTCTCCGTTTTCGTAAAGGGCCAACTTGGGTCTTCGCCGCTGTACCTTCGTCGGGTGGGCTGACCTCCAGGCCATACCGATGGCCCAAATCCCTTCTGTACGTCGGCAATACATATCACATCCCCACTGAGCATCATATCTTCTTTCGTCTTCGGCGAATTCTCCCAGTGCTGCAATGGTGGCAGTGGGAAGTGAACATCACCTTAGAGGATACTTATCCTACTTTCCACCGCTGGCCGATGTGTCTTAGTGGGGTGAAAGAAACACATATGCTGTGGGTGGGAGAATTGGTGACAGAACATAATAGTTGATGGACTGGAGATGATGTCTACCTTTGGCAACTGATCCAATTCCGTGTTTCCCTAAACAGCTGCCTACCATCTCCGTATGAATATGCTGAGTAAACACGCAACGCCTCCTTCACTTCTCTACTAACTGGATAGAACCCACATTGGTATGGCTGAGCAACACTAAAGTGGGAACAATTTGGCAAAGCGAAACGAAGTTTTAAACCTGCGTTGTTACCTGACTCTACTCTTTGGCCAGCGTTCCTACAACTAGCCAAAACATACCTCCGTCCCCGCATCCTTTTCGCATTCAGGACGAAAACCCAGATATGGTGCAAGTGCCAGGATAATGAGTGACGGTGCGGTCAAGTGTCTCCCCAGTTGCGCCAAAATTCGATGACCGACACGGATGGCTCGTGGGTGTTTCCTTACAGCAGCGATTACGTTGTGATAGCTGACGATCAGGGGCAGCTCTGGAGACGATGCTCAAAAGAGGAGAGGGGATCCGTAGTGTGTTGGCTGCTTGCTTAACTCGCACTTACAGTAAAGCAGCCACTTTGGTGCTCCATTATTGTAGCTTCGATGGGTGGGCTGACCTCTGGACTATGTCAGTAGCCCCAGCCCTGCTCTACGTCTAACATTTCCATTCAACACGAGTAGTATGTCTTCTTTCCCCTCCATGGAACTTTTACTACGCTACATTAAACAGTATAACTCTCATTCTATCGAAGGCCGTCCTCGTTTCTGTACCAAAACGGAGAATCATTAACGGCATTAACAATTGGGAGATATAGTAACGGGACAGTGTTTGGGTTATTTTTGCCTCCTAATCGTTGGTAATCACCTACAGGTCTTAAATGCAATATGCAAGATTCACCTGATATGATATTTAGCTGCAGGAATATCCGGAATTGAGCAAAAGACTGTGGCAGAAAAACTCACCTGCATGCCGGTGCTTTTGGTGTGGGAGGGCATCACGGTACACATATTAACCCAAGTAATTCTAGATTAGGCTTATGCTTGCTAGTATGAAACGCACCTTTCTGAACTCGCTTTTATGAGCATGTGAACATGTTGACGAACACCTATGACATTTGATGAACATGTGACTATTCGGTTTTACTGAATTTTAGTGCATTGTAACCCACACCCGAAATTCACATTGAGGCAAATTACTTAGACTGCAGAACCATT